TTTTAAATTTTAAGTTTTAATTTTATAATATTGTATCTAACATATATTCATATCTTATATTTTAAATTCTAATCGAGTCATATATTTGTATCATATCATGTTCGTATTTATATATCATGATGGCTCAAAAATAGTGTGGTATATATAAGTAAATGTTCATTCTTTTATCACTCATCATATTATTAACGTATGTAATAAGAGGAAAATTAAATAAAATAGAAGAAAATAATGAATAGTTGTGTCCATTTTGAATCATTTGATTGAAATCAAACAAAATTTTAAGTGCTTATTGTGTCATGGCGAGTTTAATGGAGTCATATTCGGATTGAAAATTGTTGCACTTTCAATAAAATTTCATATTTGGTCGATTATATTAAGTTCAATTCAGATTCCGATCATTTAACCCAAACCAAATTTCCTTAAACATATATAAATATGTAATTTGCCAAAAGAGATGGGTCATGCCCAATATAATAATGAATAATGAAAAAGTATTCTGTGCAGACACGGAACGCTGTCTAGAGACCAACCAGAATGTGCCATGTCTTCGATCGGTACTGCGGCTCGGTACCACAACACGGTACTGGTCGGTACCGCGACTTGGTACCGTGGCTCGGTACTGTTTACGTGGCTACACCTGATTCTTCTCCGGACGTAGAATTGCGTCTGGCCTCCGCACAGAATAATTTCTCCAATATAATAAGTAATATTAGGCAGCCAATAAACTTAGCCATGCAAGCCATTGAAAGCAACATCTTGTATACCTAATTAGGGTTACCGTTGGCCCATCTCATCCCTACTAAGATGACAATTTATTCATCATTATGCTTCATAAAGATGTCTCTAACCCTTTTGTGTCCTCTTAGTGGGATACATTTTTCTATTTTTGTGGCATTTGCTATATTTTATATATTTTTTCACATTTTCTTAACCCAATCGATCTGTCTTCCAATAGATGATGCCAATGCTTTGTCACTTCAGAAGAGCTTAATTCCAATAGCATTAGCTTTGCTTTTTTAACTATCTTAAATTATTCTTTACCTTTTATGAGTTAATTGACATATTTTTAGTATTATTAAGCAACATTTAATTAAATATTAGGATGTTAATATAGCAACTTATCGTACTTATTGTTTTATAAAAGTTTTAAAAAATATATTAAATTTATGATTGTGATAATAAATACTTTTAATGTTTTAGAAATATGTAAATATCTTTTTAGTTTGAATTAAAATGATTATTAAAAAAGGAAATAAATAGTTCAATGGCCTACGGCTTTGGAGTTATGGGCCTTTATGGGCCTTCACTTTGTTTTAATGGGCCAAGTGATTATCCATCTTGAATCGTGTCGAAATGGAACAATTATTACATCCTCCGAATTGGAGCTAAAATCGAGCCAAAAAACGAGAAATACCGAGCAAATACTGAGCAATACCAAACAATAACGAGGAATACCATCATGTGAAGACCCAATATAAGTTATACCGAACTATACCGAGCAATACCGAGTTATACAAAAAAATACCTAGTTTTTCCTAAAAAAATCGGTATTTTTTGTATAACTCGGTTTTGCTCGGTATAGCTCGGTATAACTCGGTATTGGTCTTCACATGATGGCATTCCTCGTTATTACCAAATAATCCTAGCAATACCGAGCAAATACCGAGTTTTTTGACGGGATTTTAGTGCCGACCGGACGTTCCTCTACGTACGTTCATTGGACCAAATAAAAGTTCGTTGAAATGGGCAGCCTGATTGTCGACTTTTGTCAAAAATAATTATGAAAGAAATAGAATTGAATATTAATTTGACTGGAAAAAAATTGCTTTAGATATTACAAATTGTATCAGAACTTAACAAGTATTGAATTTATTTTGAAATTAATGTTACTTATAAAAAAATTATATCACAATAATTTCAAAACTAATTAATTCTTTAATTTTAAATATATTTTAATACATATATTCTATTTGTTTTTTTCAATTGAATTATGAAGAAGCATGCAAGATTTATAAGATTAAATTTGAATGGCTGCAGTTTTTTATACAAATGGTTATAAGAGTGATATAAAGAATTTTTTTTAAGCTGCTGTGGAAAGAATCTTCCCAACATAATTTTTGTATGAAAATAGTGAAACAAATGCTAAACAAAATTTGCTGTTGCGAATTGAAAAGCAAAGCAGTGAGAAAACTATCCCAAATGAAGCCTATATATTTATCGAAAGTGATTAGTCAAAAGGTTTATCTCGAAAAAATATATTGGATAAATTTTCAGTTAGATTGAAGGTTTGTTGTGACAGTTGCAGGTTTTTTAAAAATGATTGTAAATCAATTGTGGATAAGATAAATTTTTTTTTTTTATGTTATTATCAAAAAGAGTTGCTAGAACAAAATTTTTTCAAAAACAGGGAGGAAGCAATAGCCAAATTATTTAAATATAGTTGCAATTTGAAGAGCAAAGCAAGAAGGTGCAACATTTATAAGAGAAACTAAAATTTTTACATGGAAACCCCTGAAAAGGGGAAAAATCACAGAGCTTAGCCCAGTTTTAATGAATCAACTAGTATTTGCAGTGCAGGGTGTGGGATTGTGACGAGCAGGATGCAGGTGAAGGCACAGGATATGGTCGGAGTCGGACAGCATGAGTGCAAGGTGCGGGAGCGGAACTGGAGGCTAAGGGCGCGAGCACGAGGCTCAAGGAGTGGGACGATGCACAAGGCGCAAAAGTGAGGCACAAAAGGTGCTCGGGAATTGACTGTGTGATGCGGTGCGACATGAGAAAATATGTCAGAAGATGGAGCTAGAGCTTTTGAATAAGTGAACAACATATATCTTTTGTTGTGTAAATATAGGACCAAGGTGAATATTGTTAGATATTGGTCATAGATTTAGGTTGTTTCTTATATGGCTTGTATAGCCATTAGTGTAGCCTTATAATATTTAAAGTTGAAACAATGATAAATTGATATATAATCAATAATAAAAGCTAAATATATTGCAAGAAATCAAAAACTTGTGAAGCTATTTGATTATATATATATAATTTTTACTATAATTAATAATTATTATTATTTATAGTGATAAAAGTAATCATATTTTATAAAATTTATAATTAATTTTTTAATAATATAAACTTTTTTTAAAAAAATTAAGTGCAATAAATCAATTCTTTTTCAAATTGCTTTGTATGAGGCAATAAAGTCGAATTTCCCTTCAATTCTTGTCTAGAACTTAAATTGATATATCATAGCTATCTAATTGATCATATTTTATAAGATTAAATACTAAATATCACTCTTTTTTTATTACATTATATTGATAAAACATATGTTTTTCCCTCTTGGTTTAAACACTAGATTTTATGCAACAATTGGTACCTTTATTATTTTGTAAAATTGAATTAAAATAATTAAACTTATCCTATCTGAGAAATTTAAATTGATCGTAAAATAATATTTGTGAATACTTTTCGTGTCCTAGAATATTCACTGCGGTATAAAAGTATAAAGTTTAACGTCTTAGATTTATACGAAGATCCAGCGCACAATCAGATAAATAGAGAGGGTGCAATATTTATAGTGAAAAATCCTAAAAAGGGGAAAAAAACCACGGGGCCTAGCTTAATTTGAATGAATCCACTAGTATTTGCAGTTGATTACAAATAAGTCCCTACATTGAAGGGAAGGCCTTGGCTTCATCTAATAATTATACATCATATAGAATGCATTATATGGTGGAAATTAGAAGAATCAATATTGATATGCTTTTTTGGTCGACAGGACCATAGCCGGTGGGCAATGGAGGTCAGAAAAATCATATTCAAGTGATGTTGGTCGAAATGACCGTAGTCGGCGGGCGACAGAGGTTGGAAGGACCGTTATCTGGCGACGAAGATCAGATAGACCATAGATGATAGGTCAGACAGACCGTAGTTAATAGGCGATAGAGGTCAAAAAGATTATAGTCTGGTGACAAAGGTTGAAAGGATTGTTGCCTCACGATGGAGTTCAGAAATATCGCTATAGGCAAGTGATGGAGGTCGAAAAGAGAATTATCTAGCGACGGAGATCGGAAGGACCGAATTCAGACGAAGGAGGTTGGAATGACCATAGTCAGCAAGTGAAAGAGGTTAGAAAGACTGTTGTCTAGCGACGAAGGTTGGAAGGATTGTATTCAGAAGATAGAGGTCGGAAGTACCATATTCGGCATGCGATAGAGGTTAGAAAAACCATTATTTAGCAATGGAGGTTGAAAGGACCGTAGTCAATTGGCGATAAAGGTTGGAAGGACCGTTGTCTGGCGATGAAGGTCGGAATGACCAAAGTCAGTGGTGGGATAGAAGTCTAGCGTTAGTTGATGGCTGAGAAGAAGTTTGACGTTAGTCGGTGGCCGAACAGAAGTTCGACGTTAGGTTGCGGCCAGAAAGAAATCCGATGTCAGTTGGTGGTTGGGAAGAAGTCTAGCGTCAATTAGCAGCCACGTGTAAGTCCGACGTTAATCAGTGGCCGAGCAAAAATCTGACATCAGTCGACAGTCATATAGAAGTCTGACGGTAGCCGAGAAGGAGTATTGTGGGAAGAGGGCTCTCTTCCTTCCCTTCCTTCCCTTCCTTGCTTGGGCGCCCCCACCCCCCACCACACCCCCTATTAGTTAAATTGATTTCCTCATATTAACTTCATGACCAACTTTATAAAATATTATAGCACTCTCAAAGAGACTCTTAGTTAACTAATTTTTACATAAGTTAGGATATTAATGATGAAAATATATTTGGTCTTGAGGATGAATTGTTATTAGAAATTTCACGTTTGTTAAAATGTTTTTCTTGGAGAGAAATCATTAGAATCTCATGTAGAATAATTCAATTTGAATTTTATCACCAGATTAAAAATCATTAGGGCTCAAACTACATATAAAATTATTTATTCATATATAACTTTATAGGTGCATTTTGTTCGCGCAGCAGCGGGGCGGGGTCGAGCGGGGCGGGCAGGGGTTCAAACGGGTTTCCGGGTTGACCTGTCAACCCGTCAGGTCAACCCGACCTGTTTTTCGAACTGGTCGGGTCTAACCCAAAAATTCCGAGTCGGATTTTCGTGTCGTGTCAAATATTGACACCCCTAGCTCAATGTACATATAAAATTATTTATTCATATATAACTTTATAGGTGCATTTTGTTCAAGTGCCCTTTTATTTATATTTCTATGTTTACATATGAAACATATGTCACTTGTTCAAAGCCGGTTTTGCCACCAAAATAAGTGGCGCTGTCTTTGTAGAAACCAACCCAGGTGCATAACCCATTTCAATATCCTCTTTGGTCATTCCATTGGGCAATTCCCAATCAAATACATGGAGTAGATTTGCGAAACACAGTTCAACATTAGCCATGCCAAATGCAATTCCAGGGCAGATCCTTCTTCCTCCACCAAATGGTATGAGCTCAAAGTTGCTCCCTTTAAAATTAATAAGGCTGTTCTCGAATCTCTCAGGCATAAAAAGCTCGGGATCTTTCCAGTACTTTGGATCCCTTCCAATAGACCATAAGTTAACAAATACCATCGTCTTTGCTGGAATATCATAACCATTTATCTTGGTATCTTTCATGGACTCTCGCGGTGATGGCAATGGGACGGGCGGATGAAGCCTCAATGTTTCCTTTATTACTAACTTTAGATAATGAAGATGTTGTAGGTCGCTCACTCGCACCTTTTCTTTGCCAGCAACCACTCGCCGAACCTCCTCTTGTGCCTTTTTAAAGATGGCTGGATTTCTTATTAGATTTGTCATCGCCCATTCGATAGTTGCTGCAGATGTTTCCGTTCCTGCTATAATTATGTCCTGTAGAAGAGAGTTAATTATCACTTTATTAAAAATAATTATATATATTTGATATTAAAGTTGTCTATGTGTGATTGGTATGAAATATTAAAATTTTTAGTGTTAGGTATGAAAATAGAAAGATATAGATGGTGCTGAATGGAAATTTTAGGATCTTCCTTTTTTGGGTGCTGTCTACTCACAATCCGAGTCCTTTCTTATGTTCTTTTTGTAATCTTAGAACAAGGAATCACCGGCTCTTAGGTTTTATTTCTTTTAATCTTGTAGCTCTTCTGAGCAGTAGCGAGCTGGAGGATCCTTTTGAGGATCTTGTAACCGATATTTTTTATTTGAACGCCTAGGCCCCACAGCGGGTTTTAACCAAAAAAAAAAAGAAAGATATAAATTAAGTGATATGCATGTAAAAGAAAAAAAAAAGATTACCAAGAGAATGGCTTTGATTTGATCAAAAGATAGATCAGAGGCGCCATCTTTTGTATTTTGAAGATTAAGGAGGGTATCAAGAAAATACACTTGATGTCTCCCATCTCTTTGTATGGCCAGTAGCCTTTCCTTGATGCTCTCCTCAAAAAAGGAATCCATTTTTTTAAAAACCTTGTCCAGTTTCCCTCGCCAGCCAGTCAACAAATCAATCCAACCCAGTGAGGGAAATAAATCTGCTGCTCCAAAGTCATGATTCATTAGCATAAGCAGCTCTCTAAGCATATTCTGTATTGGACTTATCCAACACTCTCCATCAACTGAAATCCTCTTCCCAAACACCTCTCGATAAATAACATTATTGAAGAAACAAATTAAGATTTCTCTCATATTTATCGGCTTGCCACCAGAATTAGAAGAAGCTGCTGATATGGTCTTTAGGAGTATGTCAACTTCTTCTGTGCGACCAGACTCAAAAGATATAACTTTATTAGGACTAAAAACTTCTTGGGTACCAAGCCGCCGGAGTTGTTTCCAGTTATCATTATACTGGGAGAAAGCTATATTTTTGCATCCATAGGACAAGCGTTTGAGGGTGGCCAATTCCTTGCGACTACAAAATATGTGGTCTTGGGATTTGAGTATTTCAGAAGCATTATCAGCATCGGAAATGAGAATCGTGGGGATTTGGCCCAGCCGGAGTTGAATGAGAGGGCCATATTTTTGGGAGAGGAGGTGGAGAGATATGTGAGGTATTTTTCCGATGGTGAGGAGGTTTCCGATGATGGGAAGAGGTGGAGGGCCGGGAGGGAGGTTTAGGGTTGTTCTGCGGCGACGATGGAAGGTAAAAAAGAGGAAGAGCAAGGGAAGGAGGATGAATACGTATAGGCTGCTGGCCAGCTGGGTTTCTTTAACCATTCTTGATCGACTTCTGTATTAAATTTCTTCAAGGTTGCTAACATATTTATAGGATGACTAGTGTGTTGTTATATTTGACAATTTCGGGTCACGAGTCGGGTTCGGGTGGAACCCAAAACTGACCTGGCACTATTTAGGTCAAGCCGAACTCGACCCGTTTTTAAAAACTGGTCAGTTTTCCTGACCTGAACCCAACCCGCTTCAGGTCTGGGTCAACCCGGCACGACCCGAATGACCCGTTTCCAACAAAAAAATTCTAGTTTTCGGGTCAAAAACGGATCTATCTCCTCTTTTCGGGTAAAAAAACATGTATATCTCCTTTTTTTCGAGTAAAAAATGGGTCAAAATCGGGTCAATCTCGGGTTGCCGGGTCAAAATCGGGTCAAAGGGTTAACCCGAACCCGACCCAATTTTTGAAACGGGTCGAAATGTTGAACCCGAACCCGAAATTTTCGGGTAGGGTTCGAGTCGGGTTTTCGGATCGTGTCAAATATTGACACCTCTAATATTTGTATTAATTCTAGGAGATTAGGACATTGAAAAATGATAGCTGGGCAACCAAACTCTTAATAACAAGCGAGTACGATTAAAAATAACAGCAATACAAGTGAACAAAAAATATGGAGTTTAAGAGGTAAAATGATAGGTAGTTCAACAAATAAATAACAAGAGATTAAGATTGATAATGTTAAATAGAAAACAATCATTTAAAATTAAGATATTATTAATTCTAGGAGATCAGGACATTGGAAAATTACATAGGTGGGCAACCAAACTCTTAATATATATCAAGCGAGCACAATTAAAAATAATGGCTATACAAATGAACAAAAAGAATGAAGTTTTAAGAGGTAAAATGATAGCTAGATCAAATAATAAATATCAAGAGATTAAGATTGATAATGACATTCAAGTTTAATATGGTGTTTTGTCATTTTTTAACCCCAACTTCTTCACAGTTGGTCATCAAACATATCTTTCATAATTATCATTTATCATTAAATCAATTATCATTACAGGTGACTTTCATTAAAGCAATAAATAATTGTCATTCTCTACCCATCGGCATTATCAGTCAGTAGTTATAAGCTATAATTAGGATAATATCACAAATTATCTTTAAAGAAAAACTTATTGGCCCACCCACCTACACATGGTTCTAATATTTTAAGAGTTAGTTTGTGTTAATTATAGTGTTAATAGCCAACCTCCTTTTCTTTTATAAAATTCATTTTAATGTATAAAATACAGTAAAATCTATATATCAGTCTATAGCTTCAAAAAATCATAACATTTATTTCACCATGTTGAAATCGATAATATTACAATCAAAATATTTATAATATTCATATCGATTATATACAAAAAGTTATATAATAAAAATATAATAAATCATGAGAAAATATATTTTTGGCGATTTAGGAGAGAAACAATTCATCAAACTCAAAATCATTGTAAACTAAAATGAGATTTACGTTAATACAATCAGAAGAAATCTCCGAGCATAATTGATGGAAAAAAATGCCGTAGCGTTGATTTCTAATACTGTTGTGCTCTCAATCATAGCATCGTAGCGCTACAATCACAGCGATGAAATGCACTAATTCAAACAAAAATTCAATGTTTCATATTTTTCTATTTTAAAGTACTTTTCATATCTTCAAGTTGTTACACAATAGCTATTATAAGCTAAAAAAACATAAATAAAGCCGTAGAGATGAAAATAAAATAAACGATTAACACTACATATATAGTCTTGCCCTATAGGCTCTTTACCTTTTAATTTTTTCTAAAATCATGTAATGAGCACATAACCGAGTAAGTAATAAAAACTTAGTAATGTATTCAATGCAAGGTAAAAGAAATAATATGTATGCTCTAATTTCAGTCTATATCAATCAATATTAAAACTAATATGATCAGAAAAGTCAAAAGAGATCAATAAAACTATAAAAAAAATAATAAAACGGACGATCAATCAATGGACATACTATACTATGTTGTATCAGTATCATTATAGGTTATATCAGTACGACTTCTATTCCATCTATCAATCAATTCCATATACTATCACGTAAATACAATCATTAATACAATAATAAAAATCAAGACAGGACAGCCAACTTTAATATGATATTTTCCTTCCACCTTAACCATTGTTTATTTAATCATCAGTTTTTAATTTAATCTTAAATATCAATCAATTGGTCATCAGTTTTTATCTTACGACCATCATTATTCATTATCTTAAGTTAATTCGTAGGTGATTTTCAATAATTAATGAAGAGTTTTCACTCTCAACCCATCAAAGTTATTTGGTCAATCGATTATATGCTACAATCAGGATCACACTATCAATAATTTATTTTAAGAAAAACCTGAAGACACACTATTCTATGCAGGGTATTATATTTTAAGAGTTAACATATATTAATTATAGTATTAACATATAGTCTTTTCTTATTTACATGCAAATGTCAAATTTATCTTATATTAGTCATGTCATTTTTTTCTATGTAATAAAGTCAATATTATATATAAAATATAATAAATTATGAAATACAAGAAAATCTATAAAATTTTAATAATATGCATTTTAAAAAACACAGATTCCAATTTATTTAGTAAAATTCAATAATATTACAATCAAAATGCTTATGAATATCATATTTATCATATATGAAAAGCTACACGATGAAAACTCGATAAACCAGGAGAGATTATATTTTTATCAATTTTGATAAGATTAAAATTATAGTGATAAAAACCCTCAAAAATAGGATCGAGTAAGAGTATAATCACTAACTTCATATAGAATAAAATATGTAATAGGAGTGTCATGCGAAAAATTTCTTGAGAGCTTTCGCTCTCTTCTCCTTCTCCGCTTTTCTCTCCTTTCTCTTCCTCTCTTTCCTTTCCTTCATGGCCAAGCAAACGAGAGTGAGGTATAGAGTCACTACCGGAAAATCCATCATTACAACCAGATTTTTCTGCGGAGAGATATACGCTGGAAAATGTGGCCCCCAAACCAACAAAAAATTCATCGTTATTTTACTGGCGGAATTTCGAGCGAAATATTCGCTTTTGAAAAATTGGAGAAATTTCTATCGGATTTGAGCCAGAATTTAAAAAGTTTCCTGCGTAATTTGCGACGGTTATTACCGACGGAATTACTGGCAAATGTTGCATCAGCTTACTTAAACTTGACGACTGTTTACCAATGCATTAATTGTCGGTAAGGTAACCGATGGATACTCCGTCAGAAATTTTGATGGAAAGGGCCCTATTTTGACCCAGATGCGGTATTTCATCTCATTTCCTTCTTTTTCCCTAGGTTAGGTCGCATCCAAGAGCATCTGAGAGCTACCATAAATGCGAGAACCTCATCGACTTTTGTCGTTGACTTGCACCATTCGCCTCTGTAGATTGCCTCTACTCGTTGCCTGTCATTTCTTTCTTCTTCCCTCAGTTAGGTCACTTTAGAAAGCTGTCGCAAATGCGAGACCTCACCGACTTTCGCCGCCGAACGTGAGACCTCGCCGACTTTCACCACCAAACTTGCACCGTTCGCCTCTATCGAATTCCTCTGCTCGTTGCCGCTGGTAAGAAAAGGTCACTGCCTCCTTATCTTTGTATTCTTTTTTGTGTTTGTTATGGATGCTCTCACTAGACATTTGCAAGAGATGGAACTTGGTGTATGTTATTATTTTGGGTTATAGATGTTCTCACTACACATTTGTAAGAGAATGTATCTTGGAATATATGCTTTTAAATTATTTTTGTTTAGGATGTTCTCACTAGGCATTTGCAAGAGAATGAACCTTGTTGCATGCTTTTGTTTTTGTTATATATGGATGTTCTCACTAGACATTTGTAAGAGAATATAAGTCAACCTTAAAGTCTAAAAGTTTTCGCATAAGTAGATCTAAAATTTAATATATGGAGTGTATTTTTAGTTGAATATACCTAGTATAAATACACGTGCACATGATGCACGTGAATAAAATTATATATATATATATATAAAACAAAATCCCATCAAAGTGACACTTAAGAAGCTTCATGGGTATGAAAGAAAATGAGTTTAGACAATCAAAATATTAGGAAAAAGCATGGTAAAGGCCACAATGACGCCAATTGTGGGATAACGGAAATTACAAAGAATGTGATGAGGCTGTTTGTTACCCCTACAACAGGAAGTGCACACTAAAAGATGATATATTAATGAGATCTTACATCCTGGGTGAAACCTAAGATGCGACTGTAAGGAGCAGAAAAGTGAGCATTTCACATTGATTACGGGGAGCCCCTTGCCTACCCCCTACGGAAAAAGAGTACCTGTCGTCAAGGCTACAATATCTATCGAACAGCTGATCCATCTGCACTCTGGCGCTCATTCCTAACCGTGTGCCTGTACCCCACTACCGATTTTCCGCGGAGAAACGGTAGGGATCCTCACTCCTGAAAGACTTTGTGACACTAATCCATCTTATAAGTCTTCGGACTCTTCGAATAAGCAATAAATTACCGCCCAGAAGCAAGGATTGAATCTCTCCAAATAGACCGTACTCAATATCCCCGTCCGCCGCCCTCTCCATCCATACCAGACACGTGGCATAGGCAAGGATCATGGATGGTTCAGGCGCAACGCAAGAAGAAATGAGAGGGGACAGAAGTGTCTTGAGAGACCAGCTAGCCGAGATTGTGAGCTTGCGGGAAGGAAGAGCCGCTATAACAACGCGATAGAAGCCCTAAGCTATAGCAATAGCGCTATTCTAAAAAAGATTGAAAGTCTAATGCGACAAAGGGCGGTGAGTCGGTCTAGATGGCAAAAGAAGGTAACCGTAGGGAGGGGAAGGTGGCTAGCTTCTTTTCAGTTTAGCTTGGCTTTTCAGCTTGTTTCAAAGCGTTTTCAGTGCGCTTTAGAGCACAGTAAAGTCAGTACCGCCTGTGAAGGATGGCTATTCCCTAATAGACATAGAGTAGTAAAGGATTCTTTTTCTCC